ATTTTTTTAGAAAAACAATAAAATCTTTTCGTTAATAAACCACGTAACGAAACAAGACAAAACTGAAATGTTTGACCCAATCTCTTCAAGATTTAATTTTATTTATTCGACTACTTGTTTATCTATTAAAATTATTTTCTTTACCACCAAAAATCAAAAATACTTTAATTTATCATTTCCCCAAAATCCAAATTTAATGCAAAAAAAGTAAATATTTTTATTAGCAAATATTCAACAAACAAAAATATTAAACGTTTCTTATCTTTTTTATAAACCATTTATTGTTTATTTAGATATATTTATTATTATTTTTCAATCTTTTATCATTTAAGACTTTTTATATTGTAAAGGACCTTTTTAAATTTTTGTGAATAACACATGTTTTTATACTTATAAGAATTTTCTCTTATTTTTTAAAATAAATACCTATATGTATACCTAAAAATTTGAATTTTATTTTCTAATCTTTACTCTAAAATTTTATTACATTTTTATACTTTAAAAACCAAGAAAAACTTGGAGGGCAATATAGTCTACAAATATATTTTGGTAAAAATTCTTATTTTATTTAATTTTTAATTTTCCATTTTTCCAATTTTTTAAAAATTATTATCTTTATTTATTTTTTTTCTAAAAATTGCAGCAATATTAATTTTTGTTTTATTATGATAATAAATAAATAGTTTGTAATTATTTAGAAAAGGGTGACTTTTAAATATTCTTTGAAATATTAATATTTATTTTTTAGTCGTAAAAATATGTAGATGATAAAATAAATAGTCTAATGGTGTGATAAAAGAATAATTAGGAGAATTTAAATTTAAAATCGTTTTTCTAAAATTAAAAAAAATAAAGTCAAAAATACCTTACCTTTAAAAATTTTTATTTAATTAATTCAATTATTTTTAATTAAATATATATTTTATTTTTTTATTAATTTTATTATGTTTAAAATCAAAAATCTTTAAAATTGAAAAAAATGTTTAAATTAACCTTTTAGATTTCTGAGCAATTTTTCTTTTAATTTAAATTATTTAACTAAAATTAATTAATTTTTTAAAAGACCAATAATCAATTTATAAAAATATATTCATTTTAATAAATCTATTTAAAAATAAAATAAAAAAAAATTAAAAATCTCCAAATATGTATGCGTAATAAATAAAATAAAAATATATGTCTATATATGTATGTATTTGCACAATAGATCTATTTTAATAATTTATTTTTAAATTTATTTAAAAAATATTTTATTTTTAATTCTCATTTAATTTTATTAATTAAAAAATTTTTTTAATATTTATTTTTGTTAAATTTATTTTCTATTTTTCACTTAATTTAAAATAAAAAATTATTTTTATTTATTTTCGCATTTTTAGGCATTTTTAAAATTGAATTTTGAGAAGAAATTACAAAAACAGAGAACCTTTTAAATTACTTAAAAGCTTTTAATTTCTCTTTTCTTTTAAATAAATTATTATTTTAAAATAAAATACAAAATAATTTCTAAAAAATATTTTAAAACCTGTTAAACTGACATGTTTTAGCTGAAAAATTATTTTTATTTTCGAATAATTTTTTAAATAAAATCTAAAAAAATTTTTGATCGCTCAAATGATCATTAATTCTTTTTTAACATATCTCACGTTATTTCTGCAAAAAATAACTGTTATAATATATTCCAAATGTTTTTAATTATATGCACGTATTTTGAAATAAAAATAAATAAATTTATATTTAGAATCATTAAAATAAAATCAAAAAAACTTTAAATAAATAAAATTAACATAATCTTTAATCATTTATTCTAAATTGAAAATAAATATGTATAAAATACATAACCTCTCAAGTTATTTAATAAAAAGATCATTTTTATTATTTTTGCTTTTTAATTTCTTTAATTAATTTAAAACTTACTAAATAATATTAATATAAGTAACAATTTATCTAAAAACTTTTCTCCCCATTTTCTATTTTGCATTCTTATTATTTATTTAGATTTTTTAAAATTCATAAATAAAAACATTATTAATATCAAAATATTTTTTTAATATCTTTATTTATTTATTTTTTAATTAAACCAAAGGGAGAACGTCTGGGAATTATATGTATGTATCTCTACCTCCTACCATTGGAAGCTTAACTTTTTTATTTATTTTTTTTTCCAAGATATATTTTTAAAAAAATTTTCATTCCCAATATATACAACAGCTATTTCATCTTAATATGTCCTGACTTTGCACTTTTAAGTATTTTGTCTAAAAATAAAATATCCGTCAGCTGCCAGTCTCTCTTTCCTTGTCTCAAAACTTTAATTTTTTCTTTCTCTTTTTTTCTTCATTCCGTTCGTTTTTCTTTTTTTACAGAACGTAAAAAAATAGAATAAATAAATGTTAGTGGCAGCTAACAAAAAAAACTAAATTGGCACAATTTTGGCATTAGAAATATTTTTTTTCTCCCTTTTTTTCTCGTTTTTAATGTTTAGTTACTAAAAATGGAAATAATGTTTTTATTAGTTTTTAGCTGGCAAACTGCTTTTAAATTTAGAATAAAAAGAATATTTATTTATTATTTATTTTTATATTTTTGCCAAAGCTTTACACATTTTAAGTAAGAATAAAAAATGTCCTTAACAACCGTTTTAACAACCAAATAAATTTAATAATTAATTTCATTTAAATATTTAATAAATATTTTTTAAATAAAGTAAAACACAAATAATAAATATAAATATTTTTTATAAACTTTTTTGGATCTATTTTTGCTTTAATTATTTTTAGAAATTCTTTAGCATTTAGAATATTTTAGTTTAAAAAATTAAATTTAAAAATCTAAAAATAAACCTTCTATATTTATTATTTATTTTCTTTAATTAAATAAATCCGAAAATATTTTCGATTTATATTTCTTAATTATTTTTTATTTTACTTCCTTTTTTTGACATTTTTATTTTATTTCCAGACTTTAATGAATTAATAAAAAATAGATATATATTATAAGGCTATCCATCTACTATATAGTGTCGACAAGCATTTTATATATATCCTAGAAAAATAAGCTAAAAATAGATTTAGACACAAACACAGATGCTAGCTAAAGGCTATTGTTTTTTCCACAAAATGTCGACTGTTTTTGAAAGATTATTTGCTAGCAATTTTCTGTCCATATTCTCTCCCTTTCTCCACCTCTCTTTTACTACTTTTCTTTTAAGCTGCCGTTTCTTCATTGCTTTTTTGCTTCATCTAAATGGGAAACGAACAAAAAATTGTTTGCTATAAGCTAGTGGCCAAAAATGAAAATAACTTGTATCTTTTTTAAGAATTTATTTAAAAAATACATTTATTTATTTTTTTATTAAATAATCTCCTAAAAGAATTTTAAGATTTCTAAATATGTCACTTTATTATTAAATCATCAATTGTAATCCTAAAAATACATAAATCTAGCCTTTTGATATTATTCAACTTTCAGAATAACAATAAACCTTCTTCTTTCATTTTAATTAGATATTTTTCCTCCTTTCTAGATTTACTTTTTTTAAATTTATTTTTAGTTTTTTATTTTTAAAGGGCATTCTCATTTGTCTATTTAAAATAATTTCTTAATTTATAGTCTCAAATAAGATGATGGAATAATGATTTAAATTATTCCCCCGTAATTTTATTTTTATTCCTTTGTACTTTTCCAAAATAAAATTAATGTTTATTTAAATAAACAATTGTTTATTTACTTTTATTTATTATTGTTTTTGGCCCTAAACCATATTTTTTAAATAATAAATAGTTTTTGAATTATTGATGTTCAAAGTACATCTCCATAAGTAAATAAATATTATTTAAATTTAATTTTAAAATAAAAAAAAGAATTCTTTAAATATTCATTTCAAAAATTACTAGAAAACTTTCGCATTATTTCTCTTTGCTAGATTCTTGCCAGTATATTTTTCCAATTAGTTTTAAGTACTATGATTCGATTTTGTTAATATAGCTAATTATCAGTTTCTTTTCCTTGTTCTAATAAATATTATTTAAATTTAATGAAAATTTCCACGTGCACTTTTATTATTTTATCAGTTTCTTTCCTTGTTTCCTAATTTTTCTAAAAAAGTTTTATCTCTAAATAATTATATTTTTATAATTTTATGACGGAAATAACTAAGTCTAAATATAAAATTTTTTTATTAAAAAAAATTTATTACAGAGAACAACGCCCACAGATATTTTGTTTATGTTTAATTATAACGGACAGACATTTTTATGTAAACATAAATAAATACCCTTAAATATACTTATATTTAAAGTAAGGGACAGTCAACCCTCTAAACAGTTTTAAAATTTATCTTCTAAATTACTTTTAAATAATTTATATTCTTGATTCCTTTTTGTTTTTTTTTTAATTTTAAATATGAAGTAGTATTTAGTAGTTAGTTTTCAAATACTTTTTTTTTTTATTTCTAAATTTAGACTTTATTTTAGATAAATGAAAATGTACTTTTTTCTTTCCTCCTTCCTCATTCCTTTTTTTTTTATTTTTTTTAACGTTCCACTTACCATTAGGTCTTCTTAACCCTCATATTTTTCCTTTTTCTATTTTCTGCCCTTCCACGTGCACTTTTATTTTTTTCGCGTGAATAGTTAAAAAAGAGTTTTTTTTATTTTCCCTTTTTCTCATTAACGGTCGTAGTCTTGACAATTTTCTCTTCTCTCATTCTTCTATTTTTTATCGTACATCTACTTAAATTGTCACGCATAAGTCTGAAAATAAAAAAAATTAAAAAAAAGATTAACAGAAACAGACAATTACAATCACTTATCTTTTAATATTTTATTTCGATTAAAAAAATTTTTTTTGTTTTTAAAAAGTTTTACTTTTATTTTAATATATGTCATTACTATTTTTTAAATTATTCTTAATCTTGATTTAGTATGTATACTTTTTATATTTTTTGTAGATAATAAATATTTAAAAACCAAAAGATAATTTTAAATCTGGCACTTTTAATGGTTTCATCTTATTCGTCAATGAATTCCAACGGTCTTTTATTTGTACCATCACAAACAACTCCTTCAGGGACAGAAGCAACTTCTTCCCATTTTGGGATGTCCAAACAACAAAAATTAGGAAATCAACAAATTTCTCGTTCTCTTTTTGCTTTAGAATTTCTTCCCCAGGGAGAGGATGAATTTTCTTATTGTGAAGATGGTGATGAGGATATATCTGATATTTCTTGTTGTTTTTTTAATGAAAAAGAAGATCATCAAAATCATTTTATTTCATTAGCACATCCTTCCATAAGGCTACACAAACATTGTAGAAACCAACATCATTCAGGATATTCCTCAAAATATGGAAGAGGAGCACCGCCTCATTGGTTTGGTCGTCCACCCTTAGTGCCTTTTAATTCGCCAAATCGACAAACACCAAATTTTGATAAAGAACAGAATCAATCACAAAAATTTGACGAAGTAGAAGACTTGAATTCAAAAATAACAACAACAACAACAACATTACGTAGATCACCTGCTGCTTATTTTGTACAGCGAAGTGATAAATTGTGCCTTTCTCCCCCACTTATCTTAACACCTCCAAAATTAATTGAAACAACAGAAAATGTTCCTTATCCACTCAGAAGGGTTTTTTCTGCTAATTCAACACAATCAGAAGCTGGAAAGTTTTTTAGAAATGAAGATAGAAAATGTAGCAATATTTTATGGAGCTTCGATTCTCCTCCAAGTGCTTCGACTTGTTCAACTCCTGGAACCCCATCCTCACCACAAAAATTGCATCAAAATAATTCTTTTATTTTGGCAGCATTAAATATTAAACAACATCAATTAAAAGAAGAAAATGAAGTTACTAGTAATATTCAATTTTCTCCACAAATACACAAACCTACTAACAAATATCAAGAGAAAGAAGTAAAAGTTAATAAAATTATTGGTATAAATCAACAACAATCATTCGGAATGCATAACGGTTTTCCTGTTTTGCCATGCTCCCCTATGGCATCTCCTACAGGAGGATTAACTATGGGTACACCAATATTCAGAAATCAGTTAATAAAAAAAGAAAATCATCAAGAATGTTCTTCTAAACAAAATAATCAATTTATTCAACAAAATATCAAAAAAATATTTGAAAGAAAAATAAAAATTAGAAGACATTTTTCTTTTTCTTCAATAAATTGTCCATCTTCGAAATTAAATCAACAAAAGAATCAAAATCATCATAAACTTTCTTGGCCCTTATTAAAAACGGATAATTCTGCTTTAGATTTAGAACGTAAAAGTTTTGCTCAAAAAGTTTTTGAAATGTTTAAACAAGCTGAATGGGCTGCTGAGGCAGCAACAACAACATTAGCTGGAAGTGTTATTCCTCCTTTGAGAGAATTTAATTTAAGGGCAGAATTATTTTGGTTAAAATCAGCAATGAAGGAGTCTATGCATTCAATGTTTAGAATGCAGGTTATAATAAATAATTGAATATTTAATTTGTAAAAAAATTGTTGCAAAGAATATTTTTAAAAAGAAAATATTTAATTTAAAATTTAAAATACCAATTTTTATTTTTTAGAATACAGCCTGTTTGGATGACTTTGATAGAATCAAAACATTAGGAACAGGGTCATTTGGTCGAGTAATGTTGGTAAAACATAAACAAAGTGGAACATATTTTGCTATGAAAATACTTGATAAACAAAAAGTTGTTAAACTAAAACAAGTAGAACATACATTAAATGAAAAACGAATACTTCAAGCAATTGATTTCCCTTTTCTCGTCAATATGCAATATTCTTTTAAAGTAAAAAAATAATTTTATTTTAAAAAATTTTATATTATCTACATAGGATAATTCAAATTTATATATGGTGCTTGAATTTGTAAGTGGTGGAGAAATGTTTTCACATTTACGTAGAATTGGACGTTTCTCGGAGCCTCATTCACGTTTTTATGCAGCCCAAATTGTTTTAGCTTTTGAATATTTACATTCTTTGGATTTGATATATAGAGATTTAAAACCAGAAAATTTGTTAATAGACAATAATGGATATTTGAAGATTACAGACTTTGGTTTTGCTAAACGGGTTAAAGGAAGAACTTGGACATTATGTGGTACTCCAGAATATTTAGCACCAGAAATTATTCTTTCGAAAGTAAAAAGAAAAAGAAGAAAATAAATTATTTAAAAATTAATTTTTAGGGTTATAATAAAGCTGTTGATTGGTGGGCATTAGGTGTTTTAATTTATGAAATGGCTGCTGGTTATCCACCATTTTTTGCTGATCAACCAATTCAAATTTATGAAAAAATTGTTTCTGGAAAAGTAAATTTAAATGTTAGTACAAACATTTAAATAAAACAATTTTTAAGGTTAAATTTCCCTCACATTTCTCAAATGAATTAAAAGATTTATTAAAAAATTTACTTCAAGTAGACCTTATAAAACGTTTTGGAAATTTAAAAAATGGTGTTGCTGATATTAAAAATCATAAATGGTTTGGATCTGTTGATTGGATTTCTATATACCAAAGAAAAGTTTGTTTTAAAATTACATACCTAATTGTTTTTTGATTTTTGTTTTCCCTTTTTATAAATTCTAATTTATATTAAGTGTTTTTTGTATTTTTGCTTTATTATAGCTTAATATTTTTTAATTTTATTTTTTTTCCGAATTAATTTATACAAACAAATCATTTTTCTCCTTTTAAATAATATTTGAAAATTTAATTTTAAACAAAAAATATTTTAACATTGTACATTCTCACCATTCAATATTACCAAAAAATCCTTTTTTAATTATTTAAGTAAACTAAACAAAAGACTTTTTTATAGGTTCAACCGCCAAGTTTTGCTTCAACTTGTTCTGCTAAAACGGCAAATCAAACAAAAATTCGTGGGGGTGGACGACTTTTTGAGGCTCTTTATCCAAAAATAACAGGACCTGCAGATACTAGACATTTTTCTGAACCTGTTGATGAATCTCTTTCTAAATTAATTATTAGGGAAGAGGATATTCATGCCGAAAAATTTGCTGATTTTTAAATGGTTATTTTTTTCTTGTTGGTGTTTTGTTTAAAATATTTTTAAAAAATTTTTTCCAATTTTCTCTAAATATTCATAAATTAATTTTTTATCAATTTTATTTTTTTTCACAGATTGAAACACCTTTTAAACCAAAGTGCCGCGGTCCAAATGATTCCAGCAACTTTGAAGAATATGATGAAATTTTATTAAACATATCTTCTATAAATAATTATTTTAATGAATTTGCTGGATTCTAGTCAATGAAATATATCCCAATATATTTTTGTAGATATATAAAATAAATTAATTTAGTATTTTTTGATCCCAGTTTTGTAATATATTTGATTTTGTAAAATAAATTATTTTTACTTTAATTTTTTTCTTTTCAAAAATAATTTCTGATAGGTAAATTTTGATGAATAAATATATATCTTATATAGTAAAGTAATTGTTATGTATATCTAGTATATCGTTTTAGTAAATATAAGATATTCCTTAATTGTATAAGAAGAAAACAAACAATTCCCTACATATTTCGATTCCTTTTTAAACTCCCATTTAAAACTTACGCGTATAAATCTGAAAAATTTCGGGATATAAAAATAAAATGTTTGCGTTCTAGCGAATAATTTTTATTTATTTATTATAATTTATTAATAATTTTATCCATGTATATATTAATATAGACATAAAATACGAAAGTAAACATCTTTAATTAAAGCAGGGCTCTCATCGACAAAATGCCACTCAAAAGTATCAAAATCTTGATAAAAAAGTATATAGGGAGAAAATTTCCAAATTTAAAGTATACTCAAAATTAAATTGGAAAATATTTGTTCGTGCTCAAATCTTTTATATTTCTCTCTTAAATGAATCTTTTCTAATAATTTCTTGCTTCCATTGGGCATTTTGTGCATTTCAACGCATGACATGTCAAAATTCGCTGATACAAGAAATAAAGCCTTGACAGTCTTAACCTCAAGCTTTCGTCCATTTTCAGCGCCGCAGGCGAAAATTTTTTGAAATTTGGAGCCCAAGAAGTCAGATTTCTCCCATTTTCAGCGCCGCAGGCGAAAATTTTTTGAAATTTGGAGCCCAAGAAGTCAGATTTCTCCCATTTTCAGCGCCGCAGGCGAAAATTTTTTGAAATTTGGAGCCCAAGAAGTCAGATTTCTCCCATTTTCAGCGCCGCAGGCGAAAATTTTTTGAAATTTGGAGCCCAAGAAGCCAGATTTCTTTCTTTTTCAGCGCCGCAGGCGAAAATTTTGATAATTTCGAAGGCCCAAGGCTAAAAAAATTCACTTTTTTGCCCAATCCCTTCCCCAATTTCATTTTCAATCCAAAATGTTGATTTTAAAGTATATACTTTCAATAAAGTATAAATTCAATTTCTTAAGTATGGAGGTCGGTTTCAAAGTATAATACTTTCAAATAAAGCACGAATGAGAGCCCTGAATTAAAGCTATAAAAATGTGACCCGGGGAAGAATGAAAACACAAATCTTTATGCCGAATCACTTGACATTACCGAATCAAAATAAAATATATAAAATGTGTAAACTACTTTAATAAAAAGATTAGAAAAATGAGAAAAGAAGGAAAATTAATTAAAAATATATTTTTATTCCGTATTTTTTGTAAATTTTGTTTTTTCAATCCAAATGGCTTAATTTAGAGATGTTTCTTATTTTAGATAAAACAGGTATGAATATACTCTATGCATCTAAAAATATAATTATAAGTGGTTGAATCTCTATAAAATACTTTTAAATAATTATTGAGGGTGCTGACAAACGTAAATGTGTGATCAAATGTAACCTAGAGGCCAAGGAAATTGTTTATTGTAAAAATTATTTTGAGATGCATGAATTGAACAAAATCCAAATACGGAATTTATATATAATTAAAAACAAATTTATTTAAAATTAATTATGTTACATCATATAAAAATTATAAAAATAATTCCGAATAAAATATACTTTAATTTCATTCTCGAATTTGAAATAATTTTTAAAGGAATGGTAATTAATATATTCAAAAAATAATTTTGATAATTTCAAGTATTTTTATTTATTACAAAATTAAATTAATTTGATGTAACATATTGTAGAATATAAACAATTAAATGAAAATTTAATTAAATTCTTCAAGTGTAAATAAAAAGCTAAAAACAAATTTATTTAAAATTTAAAAAAAAGAATTTGATCAATTAAAATTTAAATATAAAAGAAAATTATTTAAAATATAAAAATTAATCATTTGTATTTTTAAAGTTTTTGACTAGCAAATAAAACATATTAATTAATTTTTGAAAAAATAAAATTTTCTAAACTTTTTTTTAAAAAAATATTTTATTAAATTAATTAATTGTTAAAAATCAAAAGATAATTAAATTTTTAATTATTTACAAAAATATTATGATAATTATTATGCAAAATATAAAATTAAATAATACTAAAATTAAAAATAAGGAGTTTTTGAGAAATATTAATTTAAATAATTATTCTTTTAAATTTTTTCAAAAAAATGGTAAATCCATCTCGCTATCCACCTGTGTCCGCAAAAGGATCGCACTTTTCTCCTTACTTTTCTTCTTGCATTTCTGCTTGAGGGGTAATTAATTCCTAGGCAAAACTTTATGATTAATTATAAGTGATCAAAAAAATATTTGCCTTTTGATCACACGAAAAATAAATAACTATATAATTATTAAGTTAGTTTTAATTGTTTTCTCTCTTTCATTCCAAGTGCCAAAAGGCATTTAATGGTGAAGAAAAGAAAATCAGCGAGAGCGCCACCATTCATAAATGCAAGAAAACGAAGGAAAAATGAGCATTTGCTTTGCGGACAAGTGAATAGCGAATTGGGCTTTACCAAAAAATTTTTTAATTAATTTTATAAACAATTAATTAACACATAATAAGTATTAAAGTTAGTAGCACAATTTAAACGGGAGGATTTTCATGAATAGAATTTGTGTTAAAGAGTATATGAATACAAATTGTATTTACTAAAATATATATTTCTTTAAAATTATTCACTCGCTTACATTTTTGCATTGACATTTTGCGAGAAATATGTGGAAGGGCAGCATGAATGCCATCGTCAGGCGGAGGCAAGGGAGTGGGAACGGTGAACAAATTGTAAAATTGAGTTGTAATTGAGGAGGAAAATATATAGGGAAGAAATTAAATGACTAGAATTCGGCGAACTCTTTTGCACATTTTTCAGTACCAGAGATGCGTAATGGCTCTTCTTCATAATCATCAAAATTGCTCGAATCGCCTGGGCCACGACACTTAGGCAGGAAGGGAGCTTCAATCTGTATTTTTAGAAAATATAAACTAATAATTTAATTTATTTAAATTAAAAATTAGAAAATAATTGTATTTATTAAAATTTTTTATTAAAATATTACATGTAAATTTTATTAAAAAGCCGGCAAACTTGTCACATTTTTGGAAAAAATACTTTACATTATAATCCAAAAATGTAATTAAATATACCGACCTCTAATTTAAAAAAATTAGTTAAAAGGACTAGACATTTAAACTAAACAAAAAATAGAAAGGAAAGCTATAGTTAAAGTATTTGAGCAAAAAATAAAAACAAAAAATGTTAATTTAATAATCTCAAAAATCAACAAATTTATCAAAATGTATATCCTCATCACGAATAATTATTTGAGAAAGGGATTCGTCTATAGCCTCCAAAAAATGCCGAGTATCGGCTGGTCCTGTTATTTTTGGATAAAGAGCTTCAAAAAGTTTGTCATTGGAATGTGAAGTTGGATTTCTTGCAGAACACGCAGAAGAAAAGCTTTGAGGTTGCTCCTAAAAAGTTAGTGAGTGCTTGTCTAAGTGCTTCTATTTTAGACATCTTTTTGGATTAAATATATGAGGAAATAAATGTTAGGAAAAAGAATCTTGTCAATTTTGTTTTAAAATATAATGGTAAAAAATAAAAATGAGGGATAGTACAATTATACAAAATTATAACACAGTCCCTCTCTCTCCTACATTCAACATAAAATAATAAAGGAAAATAAAAATAATAATTTTAAAAAATTATCACAAAATTGACAAGAATGAAACCAAAAAATGTTAGTACAAACAAGAAAAATTTTAAAGAAAATAATCAAGGCACAGAACACAAAAACTTGAAAAAACCCAATCGTGAAATGGAAAATTGAAGAAAAAAATTTTGTTTTGATTTTAAGAGATAAATTGAAGATATTTTTAATTAAACTTTTAATTAAATAGCAGACAAACTTTTCTTTGGTATATAGAAATCCAATCAACAGATCCAAACCATTTATGATTTTTAATATCAGCAACACCATTTTTTAAATTTCCAAAACGTTTTATAAGGTCTACTTGAAGTAAATTTTTTAATAAATCTTTTAATTCATTTGAGAAATGTGAGGGAAATTTAACCTTAAAAATTGTTTTATTTAAATGTTTGTACTAACATTTAAATTTACTTTTCCAGAAACAATTTTTTCATAAATTTGAATTGGTTGATCAGCAAAAAATGGTGGATAACCAGCAGCCATTTCATAAATTAAAACACCTAATGCCCACCAATCAACAGCTTTATTATAACCCTAAAAATTAATTTTTAAATAATTTATTTTCTTCTTTTTCTTTTTACTTTCGAAAGAATAATTTCTGGTGCTAAATATTCTGGAGTACCACATAATGTCCAAGTTCTTCCTTTAACCCGTTTAGCAAAACCAAAGTCTGTAATCTTCAAATATCCATTATTGTCTATTAACAAATTTTCTGGTTTTAAATCTCTATATATCAAATCCAAAGAATGTAAATATTCAAAAGCTAAAACAATTTGGGCTGCATAAAAACGTGAATGAGGCTCCGAGAAACGTCCAATTCTACGTAAATGTGAAAACATTTCTCCACCACTTACAAATTCAAGCACCATATATAAATTTGAATTATCCTATGTAGATAATATAAAATTTTTTAAAATAAAATTATTTTTTTACTTTAAAAGAATATTGCATATTGACGAGAAAAGGGAAATCAATTGCTTGAAGTATTCGTTTTTCATTTAATGTATGTTCTACTTGTTTTAGTTTAACAACTTTTTGTTTATCAAGTATTTTCATAGCAAAATATGTTCCACTTTGTTTATGTTTTACCAACATTACTCGACCAAATGACCCTGTTCCTAATGTTTTGATTCTATCAAAGTCATCCAAACAGGCTGTATTCTAAAAAATAAAAATTGGATATTTTAAATTTTAAATTATTAAATATTTTTTTAAATAATTTCTTTGCAACAATTTTTTACAAATTAAATATAAATTCAATTATTTATTATAACCTGCATTCTAAACATTGAATGCATAGACTCCTTCATTGCTGATTTTAACCAAAATAATTCTGCCCTTAAATTAAATTCTCTCAAAGGAGGAATAACACTTCCAGCTAATGTTGTTGTTGCTGCAGTTGTTGCTATATTAGTAGATGCTGCAGCAGCCCAAGCAGCTTGCTTAAACAATTCAAAAACTTTTTGTGCAAAACTACTTCTTTCCATGACAATACTATTTTCATTTTGAAGGTAAGGCCAAGACATTTGTTGGGGTGATTTTCGGTTAACTGTTGGAAGTAATTCAAAAGAGGAAAAAGAAGAGGAGAAATGATGACGAATAGATGGTTTTGTTAATTTTGTCATTTCCTTTGTAAAATTATTTTGATGTTTTTCTTTGTTTTGTTGATCAAAATTTGATGAAAAAATATTTTGAATTGGTCTTTTTGAGGGAACAGAATTTTGAAGTAAACAAGGAGAAACAGGAAAAACATTATTATTTGTGCTAAAAACAGGAGACGAATAGAAATGAGGTTTTTTGTTATTCGCTACAAAATTATGTTCTTGCTGAAGTTTTTGTGGATTAATAAATATTTGTTGTTTGAATTGATTATTAATTCTTTTATCTTCAGTTATATTATTTAAGGCATATTTGGGATTAATTAAAGGTGAACTCCAAATAATATTATTTTTGTTACAATTGTTTTGTTGTCTTCCTAGTGATTTTGGGGAATTTGCAGAATAAACTCTTCGTAGGGGAAATGGAGCCTTCTCTACAATTGTCAGAGGGGAATGTTTGTTGTTTCCGATATATTCTTTTTGAGAATTATTATATCTATTAAAATGATTTTGTTGCTGATTTGAGTGGTTATAGAATTGTTGTTGTTGATTAAGTGAATTAAAAGGCATCACAGGTAAACGACCAAACCAATGAGAAGGAGCACCAAAATTTGTCAAATACTCGCCGTTTGGATTAGATACTTGAGAATTGTCTTTATGAAAATGAAGATTTTGGGCATTTCCTTGTGACAAATTATCAATTTTTTTAGGAGACCACCGATTTAAATGAACTTGTCCTCGAACAAAACAATTGTTATTTTCATCTGAATAATTATTGTAGTATGGCATTTGTTGAGTTTTTTGTGGCATGAATAATGGGGAAGTTGTAACCATTTATTAGAAATTTAGAATTTTTTTAAACAAAATATCTAAAATTTGTCAAATATTTTCGCAGTTTGGATTAGAAATAGATTGCTCATTTTATAACTAATATTTATATATGTATTCAAAGATGAGTTTCTGATTTTGAAAAATCCGAGTCGAAGAATTTTCCAAATACATAATAATAAAAAATGTCAGAAGGGTTCGAGTTGCACACCTCATAGTCCGAACAAAAAAGTCTAAAGAATATTTTTCTTAATAACAAACAAAAATATCATTTGTTTTCAAAAGCCAAAAAAATATTTTTCGATAAAAAAAATAACAACTACTAATTTAGGTATTTGCAGCAAAAAAATATTCACCATTTAATATTTCCATAAATAGAAACGATTTTATGCGAAAATTAAAAAAAATGTTGGTGAAAAAATGGTTGGAAAATAAAAATAGAGCATGTGCATTTTTACTTATGGGAAACATTCTAAATGTTTTGCCGCATTTTCTAAATTTAGAGCATTAAAGAAATAAAAATGGTAAGAAAATTAAAGAGAAAATATGCAAAAATAGCATTCTAGAATGGCAAAATATAAATGGTTTTTAAACATTAAAATGATTTTCTAAATAATAAAATAATATTTTCGAAAAATAAAACAAAATTTTGTCTTTTAAAAAAATAAATTTCTATATAATTCTAGATAAAAAATTATTAAAATTAATTTCAAAGTGTAAATCCAATTTTCTTTTTTTTCTAAAAATTTCTATTTTTTCACTATTTTAGGAAGTAAAATAAAATTTTCAAAAAAATTTTTTAGAAAATTGTTATTAGAAACATTAGAAAAGCAAAGGAAATAAATAATCGAGAAGAAATGTAAAAGCAATTCCTGAACAAACTTGGATTGCATTTTATTTATTTGAAAGACGAAAATATATTTAGGAAAAAATTTTTGTTTAGAATATATCGATAGGGAGAGAACTATGTAAATTAAAAATAAAAATATTTTTATATTCTCTAAATACAAAAATATTAAATTTAAAAATTCTCCTTTACTCCTCTCAAATGTACTTAAATTGTACTGTTAAAAAAATAAAATTTTTCAAAAATATGTTTGTATATTTAGTGAGTAAACAGAAATCTCATGAAAATGCTCAAAAAAAAGTATTTAAAATATTTAAGTGTAGTAGTTTTTGTGAGGAGTTGATAATTAATAATAAATAATGATAGAAACATTAAAAGTAGATAAAAGTACTTGAATATAAATGAATTTAAAATTAAATTCTCTATATTCAAAAAAATTATTTAAGATAAATTTCTTAAAATTGAAAATGAGAGTAATTTTTGTTGGAATTAAATAATCAAAAAATTTGTCTTTAGTCTTTGCTGCGCTTTGACTTTTGCTTCTAAACATTCTTTTTTTAAATATTTTTTTATCAAGAATGTTAAAGAAATGAATTAATGATCGTAATAATATTTTATATATAAATGCAGAAAATTGGAAAAAAAAAGTTTATAAAAAGTGCTCTTCGCTCTCTTAAATGTATAATTAAATAATCAAAAAATATATATAAATAAATTAATTAAATATATTTTTTAAAAGACAACGTGTTTAAAAGGTAAAATGATATATAAAAGGAAATGGTTGGAGTATATGTATAGCGACGTTTTTTGATTAAAAATTCTTTGATTGAGAAATAAAAAGTGGTTGTGATTTTGCTTGTAGACTACAAAGTTCTGACAAAAAGAATAATATAATTTGGTTATTTACATAAATAAATTTAAATTATTTTTAGAAAAATATATTTAGATAAATTTTGGCTATATTGTAGAATTGGATGAATAAATGGGAGATCGCCAAAAAAGGAAATTGACCTAAGCAGGCAGATATTTTTATTTAAAAGTTATTTTCATGTATTTTCAGATGGACTTCAAAATAATATAGACAAAAATAAATGATTAAATGAATGTAAAAATATACTTATTGATAAATTAAAGTTTAAAATTTGGTTTTATTTAGTCTTTACTCAAAACAAATATTTTCATTAAAAAAATTGTATTAAATCAATTTTATCAAAAAAGTTTATAAAAATTAAAAATCTAGCTTTTGATCTTTTGTAAAAAAATATTAAAATTAATATGTAAATGTTCAATATTTATTTGTGTGACGTAGCAAAGTGAAAAAATAATAATAAATTATTGAAGAAAAAATTGAAGGAATCCCTTGCGCGAATAAATACATAAATTTTATTTTTCAAGATTTTAACATTAAATTATAGTAATGCTGGAATATTTATTATTAATTTTATTGGTAATTTGCAAGATTAATGAATGAAAAATAAAATAAAAATTAATAAATATATACATAAAAGTATTTCTATTTTAGTATAAAAAATAATTTAATTATTTTTAATAAATAATATTACAAATAAAAAATAATTTTTATTTAAAGAATTGAGAAGAAAATAAATTTCTGATAATTTAAAGAATATACAATATATAGAAAATATAGAAGAATTTAAAAATAATATATAAAAATAGATAGCAAAATTAAAAAAAAAATTTTTTTTGCAAATTAAGACAAAAATAGAAAGGAATTTGTTATCGGAAATATAAAAGGAATGATTCAGCAAACTCCAAAAATCGCTAATATAATTTAAAAAAAGAGGGCATGTGTAGCGCAGATGAGCGATTAGAAAAAAAAAGCAAAATATATTTTTAAAAAATAAATAAAATAAAAAGAAAAATAACTAAACAAATTAAAGATGTACATAGTAGATAAGATAGCTTAAATAAAAAATAAAAATATATTTTTCTATTTTTGGAAAGCAATCTTATATCAAATGAATAGAAAAGAAAAGTAAAATTAATAATAAATATATATTTTTTAGCAAAAATGCAATGATCGCAGTTTGTTAATGATTGTCAGTAAAAATAAATATATAAATATTTATAAACTAAAAGTAAACTGGTTGAGAAATAATTTTTGTAATAAAGTAATAAAAAAATAGTTTGTTAAAGAAAAAGAAAAAAATAATATTTTTAAATGATTGAATATTAGTATTTTGATAAAAAAATCTTTTTATTTCAAAAACAAATTTTATAAAATAATAAATTAGAGAATTAATCTTTAAAAGTAAAAAATAAATTTAGAAAAAGTTTAGAGTAATCTCAGCAACGTCGTATCCTTAGCTAATTTATATTTAAATTTGGTCTAAATACAGATTTCTTAATAGACTTCCAAAATTCTCAAAATTTTCGCCTGCGGATGTAAAGTGAGGAAGGTCTGATCTGAATATCAATATTCTGCAAGTATTTAGCGGCTCCGAACTCCGATTTGGATTCACTACCAGGAATCCAGAGTTAGCTCTTAAAATGTACATTTAAGTGTGCAATTTTTTCTTTGACAATTTAAAAAAAAATCACAAATTACAAATTTGTCAAAATTAGATTAAAATTTAAAAATTAAAATGTGTATTTATTTGCCTTTTTTTATTTTTGTGTTTTCAAATTTTTATTATTTTACATAAAAAAGAACAATAAGAAATAAAAATAAAAACGAATAACAATATGTACATTTAAAATTTTGTTAAAAATTAGGGAGAAGAAAAGCATGTGAATATTTAAAAAAAAAGATATTAAAATAAAAAAAAATAAAATAAATCCTCAAAAAGTAAACAAATTCTTCTAAAAATTGCCAAAACATCTTTAAAAATTATATTTATAGTTTGTGAATAATAAATTTCTATTTACATAATATGTATGTTCTAAAAAATAAATTTTGTTTAAATATAAAAAAAATAAAAAACTTCCTTAATAAAATTATAGAAAAATTCTAATGTAAACAAAAATAAAAAAAAAACAAAAAAGGCTTTCCTTATTTTTTTATAAATGTGGCATAAAAATGGGGAGGGATAACACAAAAATACCAAACTAATTTAAAATAAAAAATATAAAATGATTAAAATTTTATGTAAAGCATATCAAAAAAAATTTTTTTTGAAAATTTCTAATAGAAAAGTGCCCAAAATTTTAAAAATATTTAAAATATTTTTATAAAAATATTAATGAAAAAAATTTTAGAAATTTAATAATAAACTCAAATTAATTGTTGCAAAGAAAAAATGTATATAAATTATTCTTTTTTTCAAAAAAATTAACCCACCGATGCTGGATTGTCCCATTTCTGTTTAAAATCGTCTTTGGCTTTGTCCAGGAATTCTTTAACTAAAAAAAAGAAAAATAAATATTTAAATAATTTAATTAAAAATATATATAATTTGTAAATAATCAATCACTTTATTAAGACTACCTACTATATTCTTTTTTCACTAATATATTTTTATTAAGTTTAACTTTTTTTTGAATTTTGTCTTACAGAATTTCACTTGTTGCTTCTTATTTATTGTTTGGGTCATTTATTTAGTAAAGGTCTGATTATGAAGAAAACAGATCACATTACCCAAATATTTTTAAAGGAAATAATTGGTGGAAGAAAATAGAAAAAAGAATTTTATTTAAATATATACATATTTAAAGATTGTAAAGAAAATTAGAAAATCGAGAAAAGGGAAAACTAATTTTTAAATAATTTATAAAATTTTTTTTTGATTATTTCTAGATTAGCACTGTTATTTATTTGCCGTAGTTAACGTTTAAAATTAAAAATAAGATAAAGAGTACACATAAGAATTTCTGTTTTGGCATAGTTAGATGCTTTAAGTTAGATGTGTATGTATGTATTTTATAGAGATTGAAGTATACATACAAATAAGTGTGAAGAAAAGTTTTTTTATTTTGCACGGCCGGGGTAATAACGTAGATAATATAAATACGTAAAAAATCTTGACGCTTTCGTTTGGTAGATGCCAAACAAAAAATCGTAGCTATTTGGCACTTTTATTTCCCTTTTCTCTTTCTTTTCTTTGAATATATCATTCTGTTTTTAAACAAAGTACATTGGCCGGGAATGCCATATAAAACTTCAGAAATATACTAAAGCCTTTTTGGGTCGATATAGTATGTATATACACATATATATTTATAACCCCTATGTCCAATTCTAAAAAGCTTCCTTCTCTCGAGAATTATTTCACTAAATATTTTCAAAAATTTTCTCTAACCCCTTTGTTTAATTTGCTTATATTAGCTATTTTTTATTTAACAATCCTTATATGCTAAGCACATATACTTCTTTTATAAATTGAATTGAATGTGTGCCATTGGGACTAATTTTGTTTTTTTTCTTTATGTCGCTGCCGACATTTCCGCTTCGTTGCAGCCCAAGCAACAATCAAAAGATTTTTAGTTTATTAGTAAAAGGCTGTTAACTTAATCCTGTCTATACTCATTTTTCTTTCAAAAAAAAATTTAAGCGGAATTGTCGAACACAAATAGATGGTAATATAATAATTAAAGTAGAAAAATTATTCAAAAATGGAGAATTAAATAGGAAAAACAGATTTATATATCTTTTTGATAAAATTACTTAATTTTAATACACGTACTAAATATTTCTCAGATATCCTGATCTGGAACCGAGATCCTAACCAAAATTTTGGATATCCGGTTCAGAAAAGAAATTTTTATTAAGGGAGTTGAAAGAATTGTATGTTGAAAGAAAAATCTTAAGCGTTGAGGCGTAACTTCTTGAATTTTTGAGGGCCAAGATTTATCCTATGATATCCTTCAACACCATTTATATCCCCGATATCCGTCCAAATCCCATTATATCCACTAATTTTAGAAGGTCGGAAGCCAGATTTCTTGGCGGAAATTTTGGAGATTTTTGATTTTTTTCAAAAATCAAAAACTTAGTATATGTAAACTTAATATGTATATGTAATTTCTAAATTAGCTGAATGAAAAGCTAGAATATAGCAGAAAAAAATAAAAAAATAAAAGGTGAAATTAATTTAAAAATGAGAGAAAATGGAAATTTGAAATGAAAAAATAAAAATAGATTTTGTGTGTGAATAATGAAATTAAATGACAAACATTTTTTGCTTTTTCTTTATTTAAAAATTCATTGAACCAATATTGATTCGTTTGTTAGAAAAAAAATTTTTTTAAATCAAAATTAAAAAACAATTTAAAAAAAGTAAATTTTTACTACTAACAAAATGGAGCTTCTGCTGTTGAATTTATGAAAGGATCTGAGTTTTGGTTTTGTTCTCCCAAAGAAATACCCGAAACGTAATCCTCATCATCTTCTTCTTCGTTATCTTCCGCTCTTTGAGCAATAGGTATTCCATTAATTGAATTTATTTTTGTATTTGGCCTTCCAATAATTTCTTCTTCGTCTACAACTGATTCAGCAATTACTGGGATATTTGTTGGAAGTTGCTGTTGGTTTTTGTTTTTTTTATTTTGAATTGTAGGAGAGGAATCAGAAAATTCTTTAGACTCCTCCATCCATAGAATATAAATACTGATAGAATTACTTTAATATAAAGAGTGACAACGGCTAAAGTTTAAAATATTTTTGTTTAGATATAATTTTATATTTATAATAAATAATTAATAAAAATTAAAAAAAATATAAATTTAGAAATGATTAGATTTAAATTTATTTTAAATGTTTTTAAGTATACAAATAAAACAAAAAATAATTTTTTTCACAGAGTGGTGAATAACTGGAATAATCTTCCAAATGAGCCATTTAAAATAAATGATCCGAAAAAATTTAGAAGCTCATTAAAATCTAATAATTAAAGTAAAATAATAAAGACATTGAGCCCTGGCGTGTGTGGTTTTTAGAGTGTTTGTTTACTATTTATATATTTTTTTTTCATTTCATTTTTTTTTGTTGTTGTCTCACATATTTTCTTTAATTTGTATTTTTATGTTTTTTATGCACCACTTTAATGTATTTTAAAATACCTGTGGTTTGCTGATAAATAAATAAATAAATAAATGTTTTTAAGTAAAGAAGAAAAAGAAAATTCTTTTATCAGTTAATATTTATATTGATAAAATAGTAGAAAAGTACTTTTTTAGTTATTAAAAAATTGATAATTTTTTATATTTAGACAAAACTTTTAACTGTTTTAAGAATTAAATGAAAAATATAATTTAAAGAGAAGAGCTATGTATTAGAAATGAAGTTGACGTAAATGGATTTATTTTAAGTATTTAGATATATAAGCTAAAAGATTTTATTGATATTTATATATTTTTAATAATAAATAATAAAAATATTTTTTTATTAATTTTTGGTTTGTTGTTAATATTTGTAAAATGCTATTATTAACCAAAATAAATATTTAATTGCAAATAATGAAACAATAAAATAAAATAAACATACAAATTAATAGAAAGAAAAATTTTAAATTATTATTTTTATCAAAAGATGTAAAAATTTGGAATTTTTAAAAAATAGTTGATGAGATATTTCAATAAAATTATAAAGTAATCTGAGGTTGATTGAAATTCTCGGACTCTCCCCATTTCTGAAATTCCAGTTGTTGTATAAATGAAAAAGCTGTATGTAAATTTTTATTAAGGTATATATATCTTCATTGGCAAAATTAAGACAAGAGCTATCTTTTATCAAAATTTATGGGTTTACATTTTTTAACATTAAGATCTGCCATATCGGATAACGATGAAAGGAATTACATAACAATTTATACCGGTCTTAAGTAAATTTCCGCTTAAAAATATTGTAAAGCATATAGCTATTAATTTCCTAAGGCTGAGCAGTAGGCGGCGTGGTGTAATGGCTAACACATCAGTCCGGTCTACTGAAGATGCTGGTTCGCTCCCAGCCGCCGAATAACCTTTTGCACTAGCTAAAGGAGAGAAATAGCTATAGCCCAGCTGCTTTACTATATAAGAGGGCCTTTAAGCCTGATTTAAAAATTTAAACTGTCGGTAAATTCACTCGTGGTATCAGCCATAAATAATGGTTTTATCTTTCTTGTTTCATTTCTATCCTTTTTAATTTATTTTATCAACTTATTGGGGTTTTAATTCTTAAAAAAAAGTTTGCTATGCAGCATACTAAATATCCCTGAGTAATTTAAAGCAAAAAATAGAATTTAGTAGATATTATTAGAAAATACAACAAAAAATATTTTGAACTTTATAAATATAATCTAACGTTTGTCAAGTAAAATAATAAAACTAACAAAAAATAAAAACTAAATTGTAGGTAAAATCACGTGGAATTGATTGTTACTACAAACATATTATTATTCCCGTCAGTTAGAAAATAAAAATTATGTAAGTAGGTAAATTAAATAGTTATTATAGATAGTTGATAGTCGAGTTCATTTACTGATTAAATGGCTCGAGAGAGGGGGAGAGAGAGAGAAAAAATGAGGAAAGGACTAGTATTCAGTTGATAAAGGAAAATATGGTTTAGCATTTTTTAATTGTTGGGACGAATGATTGACTATTTTGGTATATTTGGAAAGGTGTACATGAATAGAAAAAATTTAAGTAACGCTATAATATTCTAGTTGAGGAGATAAAAAAGCCAAAAAATAAGGTGACTATTCGAAATAAAAAAATCTTAGAATATTTCTCAAAATTTTTGAGATCTAAAGAAAAATAACTTCGAAAATAAAAAAATGGTAAAATGCTGAAATAATTACCCTGAGTAATCATTGTTTCAATCTCTCGTTAGAGGAGGATGTGTTGAATTTAGGGTATATCTCAATCTAATTGAGTCGAAATTGTTTTATTTCTTGATATTGAGTCCTAAAATGTTCCAATAATTAAATTTGATAATCTTCTTTAAATATTTTTAAAGTTTGCGTAAAATAATTAGGGGGGAGGGTTAATTATTAGATAATTATAGGTAATAGAGATAAGGGTCAATAGTGGATGGATGTGTTTAGGTTTTGGATGTGTGGTTTAGAATTAAATTAAGTAATAATAATCATTAAAAGATTTATTAAAACATTATACAAAACCTTTAGGTTTTGAATCATTCTTTCCTGCTTTGTTGTCTGAAGAAGTTACAGGATAAAAATTAAAAGAAGTTGTTGTTTCTTCTTTATTATCACTTAAATTATAATTTTCTTCGTCTTCTTCACTATTTTCTGTAGTTGAATTAGAAGAAGATGAAGATGAAGAAGAAAAAGAAGAAATTTTAGGTGATTTATCATTATTTAATTTAGAATAAAAAGTGTTATTTGCCTCAACAGACATTTTTATTAAATATTTTGATGGTTTTTTAGACAATTAAAATGAGAAAATAAAATTTATTTAAAAAGAAA